ACGCGGTGGCGGCGGTAGGGGTCGTGGAGGGAGCAGTGGCCCCTACTAACGCCAAGTAGAGATGGAGTGTGTGTGTGAGAAAAAGAGAGCGAGAGGGGAGAAATGTGGAGCGAAACGTTGAGAGATGCGCTCCGCCGGTGATGTGTGCTCTGTGCGTACTGGTCCCCACGGGCGGCCTGGCTGGTGGAGGGATGAGGGTGGGCAGAAAGGCAGTTGAGGAGAGGAATGTTGCAATGCGAGGGTCTTCTGGAAGCACTGCAAGCTCCCTCTCTCCCAACGGCGAAAACTTGACACCGCTAATACATAACAGCTTGATGTGCCCTTTGCCTCTCGCTTTCCATTGATTCCCAGGCTATTCTTCACAGCTTGTCGAAGCATATGTGCAGGTGTTGCCTGCCTGCACATACGTGCTTGCTTTTGTTTCTCATTTGTGTTTTGGCGCTTTTCCATCCCACCTTTCCTCCCTTCCTGTATGTGCCCAATGCGTGTACGTTTCTAATCTCCGTGTCTTTGCCACCAGTTCCAGAGAATTTTAGAATACATCGTTTTAACGCGGATGCCGCCTCGTGCCGCGCCAAGAAGCTGCAATGCAAACAACCAGCAGCTCCGATTAGAAAAATTGCTCCAGCTGCCAGAAAACCGAGAGTGTTTTGAGTGCTTGGCGAAGCAGCCGCGCTGGGCCAGTACCAACCTTGGGATCTTTCTGTGCCTCCGCTGTGCCGGCATCCACCGCGCTATGGGGACGCATGTCTCCAAGGTGCGCTCGACAACCATGGACACGTGGGAAGAGCAGATGATCCAGTGCTGTGAGTGCATCGGCAACGCGCGGGGACGAATTCTCTATGAGCACAAAATGAATCCGCAGATGCGGCCAGCCCCCGCCAGCGATGCCGCCCTGGTGGAGCGGTTCATGCGTGACAAGTACGAGCGGAGGATGTACTACAACCCGCAGTATGAGGCACTTGTAAAGCGGTTTCTCGTTTCCGGGGAGCCGTGTTCAGGCCCTGTGGCGTCGCAGCCGGTAGAAGGGGCAGTCGCCACGCCATCACCGTCAAAGTGCGGAGGAGCAGCAGCAGCGTTGATGCCGATGTTGTGGGGCGGCACTGCTTCCACAACGGTAGTGGCCCCCGCTCCTCTGATCGGCAACACAACTGCGAAGAGTAGCATCGACATCAATGAACTCTTCGCCACAACAACAACAACAACAACAAGGACGACTAATGCTTCTGTTAGTAATTATTGTGATACGATGATGCAGCAGCAGCAGCAGCAGCAGCAACAACAACAACAGCACGTGTCTTCGACACACACGGTGTGGAGAGGAATGGTGGGTCACCAACACCACCACCAGCAACAACAGCATCCTGCGACTGCGCCGGCGCAGGCGGACCACCAGGCGACGCAGGCAGATGCTAAAACAGAGATCATGTCCCTGTTTAGCAGTCCACCTAATGCTCTTCCCACACATGTATATAGTGCGTGGCAGCCACAACAACCTTCTTTTGGCTGTTACCTATCGCAGTAAGCTGCAAGGCATACAACGAGAAGGGCACACACATATATGCATCAAAAAAAGAAGAGTACGTCAATACCAAAGAGCAGAGGTGCGGAGCTTGCAAGGAAGAGGTTCCACTTCCCCATCTGTTTCCTTAAGCTCGTATTTGATTGATCTACTCCATCTTGCTACTCTCTCTCTCTCTCTCTCTCTCTCTCTCTCTCTCTCTC